AGGGGGGGGGGGGGGGGAAGAATGGTTCATATGGGTATATAAAAAACCGAAGGATCTGACAATCCCCCAGAGAGAAAACAGTAAATAACTGTAAAAGTCTCTCGATTTTCACCACGACGACGATTCAATTCAACGAGACGCAAATCTCAAGAAAGAGAGATCATGTAACAACATAAACATCAGACGGGAAGATAAACAAAACAATTACTAGAGAGAAATGGCTGAAAATGACATTATTTTATTAAATTTCATCGAGAAATGCATAGAGATTTGTAGAAAAAAAATCATCTTTTGTCACCTACCCTGTGGTGGGTTTGCTCTTCTGCTCTCTCTCTCTCCCCTCGCACATTCATTCAGCTTTCACGATCTTTATATTATGTTAACAAATCCCCTTTCATTTCTCTCTCCTCTTAAAAGCCCTTTTCACTGTTTTCCATGGCGGTCAAAAGGAGCCGTTCAAAAGAAAAAAAATAAAGCAATATTTGGAAAAATCATATTTGAGAATATTATATATGGGTTAAAATTAGCCAATCAAAAGCTGTAATTGGCAAAAAGTATAGCCCCAAATATTTAATATTTTCCGTAATTTAGGATTTTATCCACCGATTCCCACATTTATTGACCTCTTAAGATATTTTCTTATGTTTCAAGAAATATTTCCTTCGGTTTTTCCCTAAAATAACTAGCAAATCCGGCATATTAAATTTTCAGTTTTAGAAATTTAAATTAAAAAAAAAACAAAGATAAGTTACGGGAATAGTTGGAAACATTACATTTATGCCATGAAACTTTTCCATAAAACCCTCAAACAAAAAACGAAAGAAAAAGGATGTATTGACTATATTAGCCTTTGACTTAAATGTTTTGCATGGAATTATATCAATCAGTAATCTAATATGTCCTTACAAAGCTGTTATATAATATTTGTGTAATATACATATATATATATATAAACATGTTACATGATATTAGCTGTCATGGTGGAAGGAGGGACATGCACATTCATGGCGCATGACCATACCAATACTCCTCCCTTGTCATGTATCTCTCATGGCCCACCAAGAACCATCGGCTCATTTTCTTAGGCCCAAACTCTCATAGCGCGTGGTAAGCACTCTCCATGGTAGAACAAGCAGAATTCCAGCGACTGTGATACACGCGCGACGATCGCGAGTGGGAACTGGGAAAGCGAAGAGCGGCTGCGGAAGCTCTCGTGACGAACATGGGCCTGTGGTTGATATTATTTACGATAATACCACTGTTCTGTGTAATTGTGCGAAAATCACTTGAGAAAATCACGGGTTTCTAACCCCACAAGAATCCAAATTTATCTTTTTCCTCACCCATATTTTATTTTCTTACTATTTGGACCACTTTATTTTATATTTTTGACATATTTTTCAAATTCTAGACTTAATTCGAAAAACAGACAGTAGAAAAATAACGCGAAAGAGAAAATATAACCCACTAGAAATAGTTAGTAGACAAATTCCGAGCGCTTTCCAGTTGAATTCTACACTCATATTTAAAATATATATCATTAATAATGTATATCTTGACCGATTCATACTATATAATTATATGCATCAAACAAACATTAGCTTATTATGATAAAAAAAAAATATCCATCACATAAGGTGGGAAGAAGAAAGTGATATAATCGTGGAATAAAATAAATATCATACAGTATTATAAACATAAAGCTATCAAATTAAACTGTGATGGGAGGAGAGTGCTGATTAAATAAAATAATGTTTTGATTGTTAAATAAATAAAAATAATATGCAAGCACGTGTGACACGTGTAAGCAAGAGCAGATCTAGCTTTAGCTTCAATCTTACTAAAAGTGAGCTTAGTACGTCTATCATCATAACGACCGACCTATAAACTATTAACCACATAAGATCTAACTTTCATGTCTTTTGTTAATTTATTGGAATGATTTTAGTGATATTTTAATTTAATGTATAAGTATATGATATATTATCTTTTTATGTGAATAATTGTTGGTTCATTTTAAGTTTTGAAAAAAGATAGTTGGTGTTTGTGTTTGCGATTTTAAAAAAAATAAATGAGATTTTGATGGTGCTTACCAATTGTATTCGTGTCTTATCAAATCTAATGTAAAAACTAATTATATATAATTTTTAATATCAAACTATTTACTCTAATCGCATTAGACAGTTAATTAAAATATTAGCAAATGCAAGAGAATCTATTGCTTGGAGGGATCCAACTTACTTATACCGATTCAACAAAAAAAAAAACTTACTTATACTGTTACTGTACACGCCCACTGCATAGTGCATGTGCTCTTTTTATAAAAAACATATTATCAAATGGTATTATAGTAGTCGTTAACAGCACGTGACATGCTCGTGGGAGATGGATCGGACGGCTGAGATTGCTCCAGCAGATAAATAAGGAATTCGATCTGAGATGTCCACGTCAGCGCCCCTGCAAAGTTCCTACAGGTAGCCTGCTGCTGTTTTTTTTTTCCTTCTCCTCTCTCACGTGATCTCCAAAATATCCCCGGTAAACAAAAAAAGTATTTTTTAATGTTGCACATATATAAATTTAAAAGAAAAATTAGTATAATACTTATTTAAAAAAATATATATGAGATAAATATGATTTCGAAAATTCTGAAAAATAAATTTAAAATATTTTTTTTTTGCTAAAAGTAAATATTCTAAATCTTATTTAAAAATTTTACATTTGAATATTTATCTTATGTAGAAAATTGTATATTTAGTAAGAAGTTAAAAAAACCATCTTGATTATAATAACGACTTACAATGTCCATTGGGCAGAGATATTTAAAATGTAATACTAATGAAATTGTACTTCTAATGTATCCTTTGGACGATATTTTAATATAACGATGTATTTTTTTTATTTGTTTTACTTTTTTACATTAACTTTTTATTATGTGGTTTTAACTTGGAAGTATGATATTCAATTATTCATAATGTGTTATCGAGTCGGAAGTTGACAAAAATACTTTTTAATTAGTGATTAAAAAGAAAAAGACTCCTCATGTCTCAACATGCAATTCTGATTGCATGCCTGCATGTCACGCATATATATGTGATGTGATACATATTACATGTCATACATAAAAATATCACAGCATATTTTATAATATATATATATATATATATATATATTTATGGGTATAATATTAAACGAAGTAACCAATAAAAAGCGACAGACTAGGGAGGGAAGGGAGTGGGGCCAGGCAAGAGCAAGTGGTGCTGCCACTTGTCTCCTTCCGCTTATCATTCCCGCCATTTTTAGCCGCCTACGTGGACCCCAATTTCCCGCCTATTCTTCCCGCCAAAAGAAGCCTTCCACCTAACACACCTCAGATATGGACACGTGTCTATTCTTTCCACGTGGCCTTACGGCTCTTGGCTCTGTGGACAAACGAAAAAGGTCGGTTGATTGCACCAACGATCGGCGGTGTTTCGCTCTTTTCAATGTAACGACATATCTTTTTCAATATCTCTTTTTATATATATGATATATATATAATTTTAGACCCTCAATTAAAATATTTTATATGGATTTTAGACAGTGGAATAATCCAAAAAAAAAAATCAAAACCCATAAAATAATATATTTAATATTTTCGAAAACAGGATTTTTCCTAGGGATTAAACTTAAATTTAGAGTTTAGTTTTATGTTTTACTAATTGACCCTTTTTTAAATTGTAACGTGGTTTCCCAACAACTAACACTATTAATTCATTAATTAAATTCGTTTCGTCTGAAGAACGAATAACGCCAATAATAATGTCGGGTCCATATACAAAGTAAACCGATTTGATAATAAAATACACGTAAATTCGCAGAAAAAAGAAGGATGAATCTCCGATGTCAAAAAGAAAAAAATATATAACCGACAATATTGACAAGTTGAAAACAAATTAATGATGACGTGTTGTCATTGACTCCACGAATTTGTAAAAAAAAAAAACAATTAATCAAACTCTTAATTGCTCACTAATAGCGTTTAAAGCTTTAATAGGGATAGTAGATAGATTTCTGGGCTGGGCTTTTGGATTCTGGATATAGAGATTTATTTTGGGCCTAAACTCTATAGACATTATATTAAACCAAGGAAATACATGGATCCTCCTAAAAAAACATATAGGTTCGGTACATAACCTATGAAAATTTTAATTTAAATTATTTGACGTCATTTGTAATCCGAAAAATGAACCAAAATACGAAATCAGATACATCTGCTTTCATTTTTTATTTATTGAAATTAAAATCCTCTAAAAACACCTTAAAATCTCGAACTCACACAAAACATAATCTAACCTCTCTTTTTTTTTCCCTTCTTGCCCTTGTCGGAATGGATTAAGGATAATAAACATTACTTTTAAATCTTCAAACTCTCTTATGATCAAATTCCAAATTCGAAATTAAACCCCCCCCCCCAAAAAAAAAAATTAACTTGCCCCATTGACACCCATTTTCCAGGACATGTTGAAGTTCTTACCAATCGGAATCTCAAGTCCCAAAACTTCAACCATCACACTCTTGTTCTCTCCTTCATCCTCCATTGCCACGTACTTATGTTCTGCTGAGTTCATCTCCTTCGAAACAGAGCTTCCATTAATGGTGATATCCATAGCTTCTTGTCCTTTTCCAGTTCCTGTCCCTGTCCCTTTAAGGCCAAGAACCGAAACCTTCTCGATGATCCATCCTTTGTCCAGAGCGAACTTCCCTTCCGTAACCTGCGACCACATCTTCACGCTCCCGTCACTAACAGACGCGTAGAATTCGACGAATGTCGAATACCCGTTTCCGAGTCTCATCTCCGGGAGCTCATCCTCGTCCAGATAGAGATTTCCCTTTGCGTAACCCTCGGATGATCCCGCGGGGAAGGTTATAACGAGGCTGAACGGCGTCATTCTCGCTTCTTTCGATATCATTCCGCCCCTCTGCATCGGCAATATCGTGTTCTGGTACAGGTGGACGTTCACTGCGTTCAACGGGGCATCGAGCGTGACCCGTTTCCCGTTCTTGGACACGATGGCTTGTGTCATGTCGAACATGTGGTACCATGAGCCCGGTGGGAAGAGTGCTTCCACTTCGGTCTTGCCCTTTTCAAGAACCGGCGAAACCATGAGGCTGTTTCCGAGCAAGAACTGTGTGCTCAGGCCGTAGCATTCGGTGTAGTTGGTGAACGTGAAGAACAGCGGTCTGGCTATGGGGGCGCCGGTCATATGAGCTTCGTAGTTCAACGTGTAGAGGTAAGGAAGGAGTCGGTATCTCATCCCGAGGGCATTACGTGCGGATTCAGCCACTGATTTCCATTGGTATAGCTCTTGTCTCGGGGAATAGTAATTGGCGTGATCCCTCGAGAAAGGGTAAAAGGCACCGACTTCGATCCAACGGTTGCAGAGTTCTTCTGTAGGAGCAGGGTAAAATCCACATATGTCTGAACCAACCATTGGAATACCGAAAATTCCGAAATTCAACATAGTCGAGATAGATATCTTCAAGCTCTCCCAAGTTCCCTGGTTATCGCCGGTCCAGTGAGCCGTATAGTGACCAGAACCGACGAAAGTGGACCTCGACAAGATGAAAGGACGCTTGCCCTCGATACCCTGAAGGGCCTTGTGTGTTGCAATGGCGTGGGAGAATCCGTAGATACTGTGAGCGTCGTATTCGCGGACACCGTTGTAGTGATAAGCACTGGTGGCTATGGTCTTGAACCCGATGGGAGCCTTAACACCGGTGGCATTGATCTTGTAAGGAGGATCATCCCATCTTGTTTTCGTAATATTCTTGCAGTCCAAGCAACAGATCCAACCGGGCCCCTCTCCACTAGGACACTGCTTGCCCTTTGGGATCTTACACAACCCGGAACAGAAGTTCGACACTTCGTTCATGTCGATCCAGAGACCATCAACCGGGACAAGTTCATGGAAACGACGAATCTCATCCCCCCACCAAGCGACCGTCTTTGGGTTGAGGAAATCGGGGAAGTAAACAGGACCAGGCCACACTTGAGCCAAGAAAGGCTCGCCTTCATACTTGATGAACACATCATTGGCCATTCCCCTCTGGTAGACGCCATAACTGGCATTTACACCGATACCCGGGTCGGTAATGACAATGTACTTCATGCCCATCTTGTGGATTCTGTCCAAGAAGGCAAGAAGCTTAGGACGAGGATAGCTCACAGGGTTCAGGGTGAAATCCTTGTGACCATCCATGTGATCGTCGTCATTCCATATCACATCGAGAGGGATTTTCGCCTTCTGGTAATTCTCCACAACGTCTTCGACAACCGATAAGTTGTGGTAACCCCATCTGCATTGATGAAACCCTACAGCAGAAGAAGCAGAGACCCATCAAGGGAAGTGTAAAAGTTAACAACATATGATTCACTGTGGAGTGGAAGTGAGTCTCCAGACAAAGGTCAAAGCAGAGTTAAATGTCACATGGAAGGGGAAAAGATATTTTAATGGCAATGTAACGGGAAAGTCCAGCAAGATCGCTTCCATGTGGACCCCAATGTCTTTTTCAACTCAATAATCATCTAAAAAGCACTTTATTGTAACCATAAAGTCTCGTGATTTATAGCATTGCATGGTCCAATTTCATATCTTATATGGACCAAAACCCTCTAACGCCAAGGAGAAATATCTACCGAAATGGGGAGAATCCCGGTCCAAGACGCACTCAATTATTTTACTAATTGGACCTAACAAATTTGAAAGCGATTCTGCTCACGAGTCAGCATGCATGTCGCATACCCACCAAAAGAGCAAAGATTTTATACCCACATAAACAATATTAGACCCACAAAACCCATCACTCTAAAGAAATTTTAGGTAATAAATTCCAATTCAAAGTTGACTAATGTAATCGAATCAAAAATTTACATGAATTTGACACCTGCCCGTGTCGGGTCTATATTTAGCACTTAAAGAACACGACCAAGATCTACTAATGTTACACTAATCAGACACAATGATGGCATAATTGTCGCCTAATGTGATTAATTAGCAGATAATGACGGCAGAGAGAGAGAATCACTCACCGAGTGACCAGTAAGGCATCGGCGCCGGACGGCCGATCAAGGCGGTGTACTGGTCGACGATGGAGAGAGGCGAAGGTCCGGCGAAGAAGTAAAAGTCGAAAACGCCCCCGATGATTTTGTACGTCAGAGAAGTTCCTCTGTAGAACACGTCCATGCCGTTGCTGTTGAGGAGGAGGACGGCGTGCGCCGATGGATTTCCGGCGACATTCCTCAGGTCCATGTACACTGGGTGCGATCCGTACAGATCCGTGTTCAGATTGATCGCCGACACGTCCTCGGTGTAGAGCGTGTACGGATCGTTCGGGTACAGCTTGATCCCGTGCGGTTGCGAGTTCTCCCCGAGTCCGTACAGCGACGCGTCCTTCGGGAGCGTGGTTGATACCTCGAGGTACTGGTCCTTGAAGACCATCTCGCCGAAGGCGTCGGAGCCGGCGGAGCTCGTGTTGAAGAGAGTCTGACCGTTGGATCTGCGTTTCACGGCGAAGGTGAACGGATCGGCGGTGTAGCTGAAGATCAACTCCGATCCGGAGATCTCCTGCACCGTAATCGGATTCTTCCGTGACTTTCCGATGACCTTTCCGACCGGCGGAGGCTGCTCCCGGGGGAGGAGGTTGTACGGAACCTCCCATCTCTGCTGCTTCGCGTCGGTGATGTGAACCCTAAGACGGTCATCCGTCTCGTGCCTGCAAAATTGAAGTTGGAATCAAAACCAGACCAAGTAGGCTGAAAATGGCGGCGACGAAACAGGGGAGGAGAGAGAGAGAGAGAGAGACTCACTTGACGAAGAGACGGAGGAGGGTGATGTCGGAGCCATAGATTTTGCTCTTCTGCTTGACCTGGAGGTAGCCGAAGAAGCCGCCATCGGGAGATTCTTCGATGGAGATTAGACGGTAGCCCTGGCCGATTGCATTGGAAGATTCTCCGGCAGAGAAGCAGAGAGACAGAGAGAGTGAAAGAAGAAGAGAAGCTGCTAAAATGTAGGAAGAGGAAGAAGATGAAAATGGTGGTGAAGACACCATTGTTACTGAGCAGAGAGACTGTGTGCCTGCACAGTAGCAGTGGAGGAGATGGAAAAAGGAGGGTTTTCAAATACCCTTTTGAGAAGATAATGAATAAACCATTGGGGATATAAATAGCGGAAATGCTTTTGTCCTTGTCGGAAATAATTTTTTTTTTTAATCTTTTTAACCCCTAATCTTTTCATCAAATCTAAATTAAACCCTATCCTTCCTGAAAAAATTTGTAATTTTTTTTATCTATTAAATAATATATGGATTTTAAATATCCAGATACGAGTTTTACTCCATTTATTCATCAGGTGGTCCAAGTTATTTTTTATGTCATTCTTTTTTTTTTTACGCGCGAATGCAAAGTTCCATTTCTGGAGCGAAAATGCTATTTTAGATTTCTATTTGATAACAGCATATATTTCTGATTTTGAAAATTTTATATTTGATTTTCGTTTAATTTGGATTATTTTTTGCTTTTGTATTATATATATAACGTACACGAAATATCGCGCAACGACATGTCTAACTATTTTAAAATTGTAATACTAATCATTATTTAATATGTTAACATTTTTATATAGGATTATTATAAAATTGTATATCAAAAACCGTGACCTTGCTTATTTCTTACTTTTGAGATGAAGCGTGATCAATTCTTGCGCTCATTAAGAATTAAATGCGATTTTCTAGAGTAAGTATTTTTTTTATTTTTAAAGATTCGAAATTTATTAGCTTTGATTTTGAAAAAAAATTATAATGGGATTAATTAATTAATTAATTAATTAATTAATGGACAGATAATCCAAAGGATTGATTTTGTCACCACGTGGCTCCATACATATCGGTCCTTAGATAGAAGCGTGATTCTCGCTCGTGCGTCTTTGCACCTCTTTGATGACTTTTTTTTTCCATATTCTATTAAAAAACATTTTTATTCTTTATTTTTATTATTATTATTATATCAAATAAAATGCTTTTTAATCCATCGAACTCTATATAAATTTGTTTCCCAATTTCACGTAACACGACAAAAAAAGGCCTAAATATCGTAAGAAATAAATCAGTATCATAAAAATACAGCCATTTGGTTTCCCAACCCATATTTAAAGATAAATACAAATTATAACCAAACTTAGAAATAAAATCATAAATATTTTTCAAGGAAGTAAAAAGATAAATTTAAGAATCACAGCTGTATCGTTTACAAATATAACAAAGTTATGTTCATATTTGTGGTGTTTATTAATGTACAATATGAATGGGGATAAGAGGTGCCTATTTTAATTTTTACTCCCGACAAAAACATTAATTGTTTTAGTATATCGCAAGAAAATTGAAATCCAGGAATAAATAAATAAATAGAGAGATTCCAAGATCGAGATCAGATGTGAAGACTGAAGTATTTACAATTTCATACATACATATATATATATATATATATATATATATATATAATAAGAAAACATTGTATTTATGTGGAGGATTCACGAGATCCCAATCTTGTTTCGTTTAAGTACTTAGTTGAATAGATATATGAAATAATAATAATAATAATAATAATAATAATAATATATGTGATCTAACGTTGACAAAACTGTCAGTTTTGAACCGACTTTACACTCGATTTTTCTCTTTCAAATAAAACTGCTGAAAATTATTACTATATTTTAATGGAAAATGATAGAGATGCCTATGTATTTATGGGTAACATATTTCAATAAAATTGGTTTTAGAAAATTTTAAAAAACTACGAATGGGAGAATATATCTTGCAGACGACGAAACCATATTGTTTAATCGTGCCAAAAAAAAATACTTTCATTAAAGTATGTATTATAAATTATATATATATATATTATATAATTAATATAAACCAGAAGATAATCGGAATTATGGGGAAAAGCACCGTGTGGTGGTTCTCGAGGAAACCTCGTCCTCATGGACAAATCTCCAGTTTTTGGACCGTACCATCATATGAATCTCATTCACATGTTTTTTTTAAATTATTATTCGACCTGTTTCACTTTACTGTAATTCATGCAGACGAGTTATTTAATATTGGATAAATTCTTTTATATTAATAAAAAAAATATTTGAATATAAGCTTAGTTGGATTTATACATAAACTTGCTTCGAAATGAAAACAAACGAAAGTGCATTTTAGATTGAAAATAAAAAAACATTTATTTACTAAAAAGACGAGAAAGGGAAGGGTGGGCCAAGGGGTGGGCTTAAAAGCACGTGGGCTGCTAAGGCCCACAATGAGACATTAAACCATTCATTACCATCACGTGTCTGTGATGTTATCCTCTTCTCTCACTCACGTGACTCCCATGTCCTTTTTTCTTCTCCTTTCCTTTTTTTTGTTTGACTTGTGAATGAATTTTTTCCCCTCCATTTATAATTCATCTTTTGAATTATATGGTTTATTGGAAATTGGCATAACATCTTTTGAATTATATGGTTTGTTGGTTATCAATTTATTTAATTTTGTCAAGGGAATAATGCTTTAAATTAATGGGCTTCTAGAAGCCCATATAATAGTTAATAGGCCACTGATTAATTATAATTTCTACATTGTTGGGCTTCTAAGCCCAACAGTTTCTTTTCTTTTCTTATTTGTTTTTTTTTTTTATTTGTGAATCTTCATACATTGGGAACGAGGAAAATAGATATTTACGCAGCGAACGAACCTTGAACCAGATATTTCCCAATCACGATGACGTCATATGAGTCAACTCGGGCTGACGCAATTCCACGTGTCGAAATATCATTGGATGAACTATTCGGTAAGACGCCCCTTTAACTCCGTCACCAAATCATTCCATCTGTTTTACGAGCCCCCAAGAGAGAGAGAGAGATCGGAGATGTCGACTCACGGCGGAGAGACGGAGAGGAAGAGGAAGAGAGAGGAGAGACAGAACCAAAACGGCGCCGTTTCAGGATCCGTCAAAGATAACGGCGACGGCGGAAGGAATGCAGTGGCGGTGGAGGATCGGGAGGTGGACGAGTTCTTCGCGATCCTCCGGAGGATGCACAGCACCGTCGGTAGCTTGAAGAAGGCCGAGGCAGTTAACGGCGTTAGACATGCATTGATGGAAGAGGGCGAGGACGTTGGATCTGTAGGTGATGGTAACGGCGTTAACGTTGATGTGATTGTTGGGGAGAGAGAGGTAGTGGCCGAGAATGTGGGTATGGATTTTGATTTGAACGCTGTCCCGTTTCCTGAACCGGACCCGGTTTAGCTACTATCTCCGGTTTTTTCCTTTTCCCTAATTTGGAGTAATTTGAGCGATAATTATATATTTAAAGTTTTGCTTTTTTAAAATTTGTAAATGAATTTAAAAGGGTTTATTATGCATCCGGCATCCTTTTCGAAATTTAATGTTCAAATGGTTTCATTATAAAAATCTTAAAATTATGAATCTCATGTGCCACAATTGTAATTTTTGTAAATGATGACGAAAAAATATCAAAGACGATACTGTAAGTGGGCCATATTGCGAAATCGATACATACATAATATGGCCCACATATAAGATGACAACATCTATTGGTGAATACTGTATGTGGGCCATATTGTAAAATCAATACATACACAATTTCGTAAACTATTGGGCCGAGCCCAAGCCCAAACCCAAACCTATAATACAGAATTTCAATTGGTCCATTTAGTCCATTAATCGAATGACCTTCGCGTTTGATATGATGAGATTTGTGTGTGTGTGTGTGTGTATACATATATATATATATGTGTGTGTGAATATAATAACTACAAGATATTTATTATATGCGCATTCAAGAATGAGTATGCGGTCCACGAATTTAATTTCCGACATCGTTTTGGAACTATTTTTACTTTTGTGAACTGCGTTAATTTAATTTCCCAATGTTCTGTTGTCAAGAAGTTCAAATAACTGTTTATATTGCTTTTTTTTAGGGCCGTATTTCATAAAACATATCAGTAGTTGAAATATATTATTATTTGAGTACGACCAAATTAATACCTTTACAATATTTTCCAGACATTATAACATGAAGGATAAAATATGTGTAATGAAATGATTTTTCTGCCACGTCTTGTATCAACAATTATGGGAACGATTATTTACAGTTATTATTTGTGTGGATGAAAATATTAATATGTTCAACAATGTTACAATGGAACTATATGCATCATGTGGTCCGGTGGGTGTTCCATGGACATGACATATGATTTCTTTTTTATAATTATAAACGACAACTCGAAATAATTATCAAGGAAATCATATATCATATTTAAGTGTTGAAAACTCGGTCTGTCATTATTGTTTTTCTATATTATAGAAAAATATAAAGATAAGTTGTTTTCAAATTTATATAATGTTAGTTTCGAAAACCACTTCTATATTAAAGGGAAATATATAAAATAAACTAATTTTGCGTTTTCCTTTTATTATTTTAATATCCGAATCTTTTACATTCTTTTTGTAGTACTTAAATAGTTTTTAAAAATATCTAAAACCTCTACATAATAACGTTTATAATTAAATCGATATTGTCATTAAATTTACAAAAGAAATAGATCTGTAGGATCTATATCTAATAATTGGTTTGGGACGAGACGATTATGCGTGCTTTTGAGTTTTGATGTGGGGTGAGTTAGGTTTAAAGTTTATCGTACAACTACTTATGTGTATATATTATATACACGTTGCTTATTATATGTATTATATGTTTAATAAAATTAAAATAAACCAAAGATCCACAAATATAAAAAATAGAAAAAAAAATATTCTATCGTCCTATTTGCTGAGATTAAATAAATTTATGCAACATATAATTTTCTTTGTCAGAAACGAGGCGTTGGTGCAGAGAAAATTATAAAAATTCAAATTTTGATAATTCAACCGTCAATGGAATATAAAGTGTTTATCCAACCGAGTTTAAACCCCAAATTTAGAGAGAAAACGCATAATTTAAATTATATCATTGGTTTGAGACTGAAATGAATTTTGGCCTAAAATATTCGATTATCTAAAAATATTACAAAAAATTAATATTTAAGATGGCACGTCATATTTGACATATAATATCATTTTTATTTTTTTAAATTAG